TCATTGCAAATCACATGTTAGATTTCTAGGTATTTGTTAATGTGTTATTTCAGGTGTAGTTACATCTTAGCAGATGTAATTATAGAATGGTGTAGTTTATTCTTTCCATCATAGGTCTCTTGTAGTTTGGCTTCTTTGTAGACTTCTTATTGAATGCAAAGGGAGTTACATAATCATAAGAAGATGGGGATTCTCAGCTGAATTGAGTAATAGGAAGTGGCAAAAATAGTAAAGTTCTTATGAGCAGTGTATCAGATGAAAATTCATACTGAAAGGGGAGATAACATGGCAAAATACTTAATACTGCTTATTTGTTATAATTGTGAATTTCTGTCAGGATAATGAAATTGTTCTGATCCATCTGCTCCAGTGCTTGAAAGATTCGAGATAGTTGCAAACTGCTTTCTTTCCAGGGTAATAATAGACTTGCTGACATTTGATGGCACTTTCTGGAGCTCATTTGTTCTTGCTGTCATGGCTAGTGTTTTGGATTGGGGTTGTCCCTTTCATAAATATTTTCATTTATTATTTAGTTTTGCCTGATATGTTTCTATATGGATATTTTTAAGATTAATAAGGATTTTAAGATTGCATTTCTAATTGTTTAGCTGCTTGATGGAATTATAACTTCTCTGTAGCTAATGAATAACATTGTCACGAGTGTTTCAACAAACTGTCTTTCTTTCAAAATGGTATAGAAATTGTTCCTTAGTAGCAATAAAAGTACCATGTGTAGTAATTATGTGATTTTTAATTTTTTTAAATGAAGTAATGTTTTTTTATTTTAACTTGTAGGAAGCACAGGCTTATGCAGATGACAACAGCTTATTGTTCATGGAGACATCTGCCAAAACATCTATGAACGTAAATGAAATATTCATGGCAATTGGTGAGTTTATGAACAAACTAAGAACTTAAAAAGAATTTTTTTCATGAGATTCAGACCATTGCAATCTTCCTAACCCAAGGTCTTCATTTGTAACCTGAATTATTTTTGGCACTGGAGTTTCTTTGGGACCTTTTATTTGTTTAATTTTGTTTAGGTAGCTGTCTGAAATCCAAAAGTTGTGCCAAAGATGGCGATGTGTGCTTAAATTCACTGTCCAAGTAATATGTAAAGGATGTTGCATGTGAAAAGTAAATTTACTAATAATTTTTAGACCTAACATAATCTTAGGGATTTCTGTAAAGTTGCTAACGTGTAATAGTAAGTATAAATTAAGAAATTTTGTGTATTCCATTGATATAACCAAAATTGTATTTAATTGTTGATAAACTTTTGAAAGGGGAGGAAAAGGAAAGATTACATTTTAGGTGGGTCACTAACCTATTAAATAACAACCTTAATCACAGTAGGAGCTCTGCTGCTCAGTAATAGTAATGCATAGCATCAAATAATCTCATTAAACTGTTTTGTATGTTGCACCACAGTGACCTCTCCAACCCGATTTTTGTGGAAAAAAGTCATTGCTGTTAAAATTAAATGTTTCTAAAGAGCTCTTACCCTCTGCTTTTCAAGTCAGGAAAGCAGAAGATAATTTGAGGTGTGTTTCAAACTTCCAGTAGATGTGAATTAAATTATCACTATAGCAACACTTTATAACAAGTACTTCCTTCATATTAACTATAAATACTTGGGGAGGGGGGACGGACAGAAACACATAACTGTATGAGAGGAAAGTATATTCTTCTCATAATTGTTCAAGATAGGCCTGCATTTAATGATACAGAAATGCTCAATTGCACTGTTCTGGTGAAATTTCAGAATTAACGTGTTTAATGATGCTGTTTGCATCCCGTTTAAAAAAAAAAACTGAATCACCAAATATGTTTGGTGGTTTTTTTTTTTTTAATTTGGTGTATCAACAATAATTCTTACCTCTCCATATTTTAATGAAGTATACAAAGTAAATTGGAGGAAAACAATGCCTAACTAATAACTGGGTATTTTGTCTGCAATGTTGGTTGGCCATGTGAGTATTCTTTTGCATCAATGGGGTGAAATTCAGCTTTGGCAGTGCATCAGAACAACATCTATTCAACAGTGGACTCTGAAAGGAAATCTTGTAGGCTATGAGTATTGCATGGAATTTGGAATAGCCTGCACAACATGGTGCAGTTCTCAGGACAATCTTCAAAACTGGGGAAAAAATGGAAAAATGAGAACACTGACAGAATTGTGGGATGCAAGTTACAGCTGCTTGTAAATTGATTGCTTTAGAGTTCGTTCAAAACTTTCAGTTAAAAAAAAATGTTAATTGAGTTCTAGATACAGTTAGAGAATTCAAAATGGTAGTGCTCTGAAGGCATTTTTCTACTGGTGCTTTGTCCCTCTGTGCTGTCTCAGCAGCTTAGTACCATGTGAATTCTTGTGTTTTATCACAGAAATGTAGAACAGTCCAAGTTGGAAGGGACCTCAGAAGATCCCTCTAGTCCACCTTTTTGTGGGAAAGGGAGTCTAGATTACTTAGCACCCTGAGATTATCTGGCACCACAGCACATTGTTGATGTTTGCTCTGCTGTTTTTCTGGTTGCATTTTGTTCCTTTCAGGAAAAGCAGTTATTTAAAAGGCTGACCAAAGTAATTACTTTGGAGTGAAAGCACACGCAACTAAACTGTAGAACAGGGGTGGTTGCTAGGTCCCAGTTCATGTGCAAGAGAGGCCCGTGGAAGTCTTTTTATGGACTTCTATGGTTAAAATAAGCAATTTTCTGATGGAAGAAGTCTAGGAGAAGCTACTGCTCAGAAAGATAACAGTTGTCACCCTTATTTTTCGTGTCAGGACTGAGGGGGTACCTTGGAGCTACAAAGGCAACAAAGAAATTATCAGTCAATTGATTCATAGGAGCTGGAGAGAAGAGACAGCTTGAAATAAATAAGAGAGGCTTGATCTAGTGCTGACGCCATTTTATATGTTGCATACAAATACTTACTCTGGCTAGATATCTGGGAACTAGTTTGACCCATTTCTGTTTGTGTTTGGTGCCTTTTCAGTGTTTCTGTATCTCTTCTCACTAACGTCCTGATCTTAAAGCCTGTTCCATGTGGGTGGATTCCCACAAGAGCTGTCATTTGCTGGCATAGCACACCTGTGCAGATACATTTTACTGCTGAAGTTACTAATGCATTTGATGCTTGGAAATCATAGATAAGGAAGTTAATCATTAAGAGTGTCTTAACTTCTTTCATTACCAATGCAGTAAATCAAATCCAGTTATATAGTGGGTATACTGATATGCTTATAGAGTAATAATGTGTTGACTTTGTGTACTCAGGTGATTTAATCTTAGTAAAATCTCAGTTTAACTCTTATATCCTGTTCATCTTACAGCAAAAAAATTGCCCAAGAATGAACCACAGAATGCAGGAGCCAGCTCTGCCAGAGGAAGAGGAGTAGACCTTACTGAACCCACACAACCACCCAAGAGTCAATGTTGTAGTAACTAAAAGATCAATTGCTTTAAACTGTTCTGAATATTCTTCTGCTTCCTAACTGTTAATAACCATGGAATTGGAGTGCTTAACCTGGTCCAGTACAGCTTCCCAACAGCGAAGAGACTTATGATAATAGTCAAGTTCATGATACAGAGTTTTCTTTTGATGTAAAATTTTAACATGCATGTATCCACCACTGGCTATAATGTTTCAGCAGTAGAGGAGAGATGGAAGGGACATAAACTTCCTTCACTTAAAAGGTTTTAAAAATCAGTTGTTATTATTAGGAGTGTAGAAGAACTGCTCTCTGTGGACCTAATTGGCCAGTTCCTGTAGCCTCAATACTGATCACTGTTATAATAAATAGAATTGGGTCTTTTCATAATTCTCAATTGTGCTTTAAAGCCTTTCTAGAAACAGGGTCTAAAAATTACTTAAACTTATCTGAAATATTGATGCAACCAGTTGTTTCTGCAGGTATCCACTATTTAGTTATACATTCCATAGTTTAATAATTTAATTACAAATAATACTTGCATTAACAATTTTAAGAATCCTTTGCTTGCCAGACAGTGGAGTTTTAGTTGGTACACTGTTATGTAAATGATATCAACCCAGTTAGTTATCTTAATGAATTAGTGATGAATCAAGTTTAACCTAATTTCTAATCTTTTCAGAGGGTACAGACCAGTAAATTCAATTCTATGACTTAAGATATGTTTGGTTTTTTTCCTCTACAAACTGTAAGAGCTCTTCAAGTAAAACCACAACAAACTCGGTGTCTGTGACTTTTCTTGTTTCTGATCATTGCTGGCCATTACAGTTTGTTTTTCCCCTAAGGAAAAAATAGTGCACTAACGATTATGTACATCCAACTTGATTTTAAATTTGGATATTAATGTACTGTAAATAGGTACTCTGCATTGTAGTCTACATTTGTTTAATACTTTCTGTAATATTTAAGAGTTGCTTAAAGGTATACAGAATGTACAGTTACTTAAAGCTAACTTTTTTCCTCTCTAATCAAAGGGGGTTCTGAGTTCTTCCTTTATGGCTAGAACAGTAATAAATGATGCTCCTGTATCTGTAACATAAGTACTGCTGTCTGTCAGTAATGAACTTTGCAACTTTGTTTTCCAAAGTACATTTTATTTTGATCAGTCCAGTATATTGCACTAATTCTTTTAGTTATTTTCATTATATGAAATCTACAAAGTGTGTCAGAAGAGATGAATTAGTCTATTTAAATGTTGAACTGATAGAAACTTACTTGTGCAGATTTAAAATTTGCAGTAATCTGGGTTTAGCAAGGAAAATGACAGTTCACCAGTGTTTAGTTTTATATTGAGGTGCTCAGGTTTGAATAAAGTGGTTTAAAAAAATGTTGATTATTGTTTCTTATTGAGAGTTTCAGATGGTTTTGTTGCATTTGTACAGTTCCAGACAAGATGTCTGATTTACTGAATGGGTCAGCATTTAAGATGATTACAAGTAAATTCATGACACAGCTAAATATAAGCCTGTCTTATACACTCCTGCACTTAAGCTATCCTATGGTAAATTTTTAAATGTTGAGGTAATTGGGTATCTTATCACAACCATATAGAAATACAATCAAAATAGTAATATTATCTCTTGAACCTGAAGCTAATGCAGTCTTTGCCAGTTTTTCCCTAATGTAGCTTGTTGCATTTTTGTAGTATCTCAGAGCTGACTGTGCCTCTTCCTGCAGCTGATGATTTGCAATTGGATGGGTGCATTTTTGTATCTTTTTCAAACTAGTGGTGGTTTAGAACCCACTAGTTATACAGACTTCAGCAGGTCTTGACCAGCATCACTTGCGGTTTGTCACAAAATACATTGAAGTCCATTTTTTTCTGCCAGCTGTGGGCTTGAGTCACAACTAGCTGGCACGTTTTTCTATCTGTTGGGGTCTGTTTCATGACTTTAGACCTCTCGCCAGTACATTCTGTTGCAGATGTTTATGGCTGTGAGTTGGACCTGTTGCACAAAAGGCAACAGTTTCTTCTTGCTCTGAAGTCTGTCACTGTGGACGAAAACTCATACGTGAAATTTTCTGTCCTCAAACTGAGTTCTTCAGAACTATCTTGTATGCTAGAATTGGAATGGTTTCTCTCTATTCTTTGAATTTATTTAATTGTTACTGAAAAGAGACAGCTCTGAATTAGCTTGTGTTTTGTGAGTTTTTTTGTTTGTTTGTTTGGGTTTTTTCTGTTGGTTGGTTGGTTTGGTTTGGGGGTTTTTTTTTGTTGTCAGTTTCCTTAGGAACTCCATCTTTGTGTGTAGTTCCTCCTAGAACATTTTCATTTATTTTGTTTCAGGTTGCCTTTTGAGTCACTGTGGAAAATATCTTTATTGGAATACAATATCTGTATTCCATCTTGCAGATTATTAATAGCATTTGAGTCATTTAGGTTGTCTTCAGTGAGGGACATTGAATACTGACACACGGAGAAGTCCTGTTTCGTTGAACACCATTCATCCATTCTCAAATAAGAAGTGGATGTTGTTAGAGGTGGTGCCAGTACTTCATTGTAATCCAAAACCTCCCAAAACCCTTTAGAAGCCAAAATAAGAAACTGATAGGTACAGATATGAGTTACAGGTATAACAGATGGTCTTTTTGTTGCATCTCTGTGATATCCAGGAGCCCTTGTAGTTCTCAGGTAAGTATTAGTGCTGGTGTTTCCACCATTCTGAAGTGTTTTCTCTCAAAAGTGCTGTGATTTTTTGAGAGGCAGTGACTCCTTCCATTTTTACTTAAGATTGCATATACATCATCTAAAGTGAAATACTTTTAATATAGCATACTGTTGGGGTTTCTTAAGATACTGCTGTTACAGTAACAGTCTTTTGTTAAGGACTGGGAAAAAAACTGAGGTCATAGTTGAGTAATCTACTGCCACAGGCAACAACATGTCCATCAGTGAATTTCATTCTGTTTTACAGCAAAGTTTTCTGTGTTTTTTTTATATTCCATTAGTAGAAGACTGTTTCAGAATCTTATTCTTCTGAGGAGTCTTAAGTGATGTTTTATTCAGCTTAAAGTGCAGACTGATAGAAAAGTTGCACCTTGATTGGTTTTTGAGCAAGAGTGTGTATCTTTTTCAAATATTTTCTTTTCACTCCTATGAGAGTGTGTGCTTTCAAAATATTATGGCTGAATGAACTCATCAAGAAGCTCCAGGTTCAGACTCTTTCTAGCAGCATATAATTTTTAGTACTGAAAAATAATTTGGATATGGTGTAGGATTTAGTTTACTAACATGATGCCTTACATCTCTTCCTTGGTTAAAGTACCCAAGGGAGCAAGAGTTCTAGCAGTCATCATAGGAAGTTGAGGTCTAACTTCTTTCCTTTAGCAGGCATAGGTATTTTACCTTTCCCTCAACACTCCTGAAATCTGAGAATTTAAAGTGTTAGAAATTGCAACACTGCAGGGGGCAGGTCTTGTCAGACTTGAATGAAGAGCATAAAGGAAAGAGCTCCGACCCAAAGTGCTGTATTATTTGAGATCTTCTATGGCTGCCCTGGGAGACCGTTTTTTGTCAGAGGAGGTTATTAGTCTGCTCCCATGTGTTGGCTTAAGGGCAAAAGTGATGTCTTACAGAAGGAACTTGAGTGAGATATGTGGTACCTTTCTAGACATGAAGGTGGCTGCAGTGTGTTTATTTATATTGTACTTTTAATATCTACCTAGACTAGGGGCACAGACCTCTGAAAAGTATGTACAAGTAGGCATTGCTTATACAATAGTAGTGTTTCTTGAGCAGTATTGGCAGTCTAGCGTAGGAGACAGCTAAGCGTAGTCTGTGTGAAGGCAGATTTCTCTTGAAGGTGATTCAGAAGGTCAAACTGAAGGACACACCTTTAATTAATTATACAATGTAGATACCTTAAGTTGTGCTCCATGAATGTTTCCCTGTGCTTGCTCCCCTCTCCTTCCTCTGATTTCTGTGGAGAGCTAGAAAAACATGTAAAATATCCTTTGAACCCTTGGAATAAGACCACCAGCTGTAAGCCTAACAAAGGGCATAATATAACCTATTTGGAACAATTTGACTGCAAAGAGTAAAATTTAGTTGCTTTTGGATGCAAGTCTTGTCAGCAAACCAGAGACAGGAAAAGAATCAACAAAACCTAACTGGCCTATCAGTGTGGGACTAAATGAAGACAGAGCTGGCCAATGTCACCCTCTCCCCATCTGCGTATCTGGCCATCCTCTTCAGCTGCTTACCTGGAGCTGAAGAATCATGTCTGTACTTATGTAAGAACATACTCCTGGGGGGGAAATGAAGGTTGATGTTGTGCAAATCTTTTTCTGTGGTATGATACCTTTGGTGGAAAATTAAGTGTATTAAATTAATGTGGTTCAAAAATGTGGATTTTAATCATAAAAGGTTTAAAGTATCTCTGATCAACTTCAAACCTTAATTCATTATCAGATCTTGAGTTTATGGTATCTGTAATTGCAGCCAGCAATTAAATTCTCAGGGAGGGATGGATGAAAGCAGGTAGCAAAACCAAGAAGAAATTTGGTAGAGAATTCACCCAACCCAAGTTGCTATCTTCATCAGTCTCTTTGGAATATAAAGTGGTTTTCTTTCACAACAAGGTGGAAACAAATGCATCTGAAAACAACCTTGCAACCTTAATGTGAGTTAATTCTGTATTCTGCTACAGGGCTGTGACTGCATCTCCTGAAAGTAATAGAGCTAGGGCTAAACTACCAGTTATGATACCTGTAACAGTAAAGTTCATATAGTTGCAAAAAGCTTGTTGGAGGTACAGTACAGCTATAGTAACAAGCATCAGGAGAATGGTGGTGGTGGGGATACACCACAGTTACCTAGTTGCATGTTCAAGTTGGTTTACAGTGTTTCTCAGACTGCCAGAGGAATGCAATTACTGTTAAGCAGAAGTATTTTTTTTATATATGGAATTAGTTTTTCCAGATGGGGAATATGATAATTTTTTTTTGCCTCCTAAAACCAATGAAGCCTCTCAAATGATTCTCCCTTTTCTTATTGATCTTTGACCTTCTTGATTAATTTCAGTCAACTTTCATATGCAGAAACAGTTGCAGTATCTGCTCACTCCTTACTAATGCCAGGCAGAGTGATAGAAAAGTAGTATAGAGCTGGGCAAGTGTCTTATGACCACAACAGGATATAATGGTAATAAAAATCACCAGGTGGGAAACATACAGTAACCAGAGTTGCTAGTCTGCAAGAGCTTTGTCTAGTGTTCGCTGCAGCAGGGGTGGGTGGAGAAGCATTAGGGATGTATCAGTGTTTCTGATTGTAATTAATAACTGATTTTCTATACTAAAGAAAGGCAAAGCGATGTCCTACTTTACAAGAAAACATGTCTGAATAGATCTTCCATAACAACAGTAAAAGCCAACCAATGCCTATTTCAGAAACTAATAATTCAGATGATTCCCACAAAATACGTTTTCAGTTTGCTTGTAGCAAAATGTGGTGGCACTTAGTCCAATGAAACAAATTAATAAAAAGAATATCTTAAGTGTGTTTCATTAATACTAGGAATTTATCAGATCTAAAATCAGAAGATTTGTGATTGATTGCCACAAAGTGATGACAACCTAAACCCCTTGATATAAAAAAACCCACTCTGTACTATTCTTACAGAAGTCACTTGTGTATTGTGGAATGCTTCCTAACTCTTTTACATTAGTAAATTGATTTTACTGCCTTAATTCAAATATCATGCTTAGGCAACTTATCTAATAAGCTGAATACTATTGTCTGATAGCAGTATCAGTTGCAAGGGAATTTATCACATCTGCTTCAAATTGTCAAGCTAAAGCAATTGCTGCTTTTTATCTCCAGACACTGACTGCCAACAAACATCTAGGTTAGCTAATACTTTCTTTTATTGCATGAAGGGAAAAAAAATTCTGGTGTGTTATGTACATACCTATAAATAGCAAAGTACAGTGGTCCAGCAACACCTTTGCCTAATGGACCATGTGTGTTATTTTAAGAATGTTTTCTTTCTTCTACCTCAGTGCCATCTGTCTCTTTGTTGGGAATGCTTTCCACCAAACAGGTAGCCACTGAACAGCCACTCCAGTGAGCTTTGGAAACCTGATTTCTTCCCAGTTGTAAAAATCTCTGCATTCTCCTAAAGGACTTGGCATACTCTCTGTGAATCTATTTGTAAGGACTGATCTTCTTGGTCTCGTCATTGCCTGGTTTGTCAGAAAATATCTTCTCTTTTTCCCTGCAATCTGCCTTGATTACTGTGGGAAAAAGAAAATCTACAATTTGCACTTTGTCCTTTTTATTTTTGTAGGAGGAATCTATTTGAGAAAGCTGATCAAGAAATAAAAGTGGAAGCTCTGCTGCAACTGTTTCTGCAGCTGTCACACTGTGACAGCTATCAAGAATTTCCAGAAAACATGTATCTGACCTATTTCCATAGTTGTCTGGTGCAATAAACCTATCTTTGTGTCTCCTTGCCATGTGGGATTTTTATCTTTGCAAATTGATAAAGCTTTTATTTAAGAATTATTTACTTTCTTAAAAGGACCAGGATTGTTGATATTAGCAAGATGACAATATTAAGTGAGAGTGGAATTCAAATGAATAATCAATATTCTGCTTATCTGTGTCAGAAAATTTAGGAATCTAGAATTTAGGTACTGCAAGGACTTCGTAGGGTCTAATCAGCACAAGCCTGTCTGCCCCTTCTCCAGCCGAAGCTTGTATGTTCTTCCTGTCCCTATGCACCTCTGTTTTTTAAATTTAAGCTCCTTGCTTCAGTCTCCTTCATCAGCTCAGTCTCCTTCACCTCACTCTACATCTTTGATGCTGTCTCACTATTCCTAGGTCTGGCACCTGGCGCTACAACTCCAGAAGTTGGAGCTATAAGAGTAACTCCTAGTGAGGTGCTTCCTGATAGAGGCCAACTGGTGCAGAGGGGACTGCCCAAATTCAGCACCTGCACACTGGCATCACTGGCATGTCTCTACTTGGCATGCACAAACTGATGCTGCTTTTTAAATATTTTAACTTATTCTGATTTGGGTAAATTGATAGGAGTGACAAAAGATGCACTGCTGATGCCATTTCAGCCAAATTGTCAACCTGTAGTTTAAAACCTGACAATCTTGGACATTCTCTAGAAAATAATCAAGATTTTGGTTTCATACATGCAGAACAACATATTTTCCAAATCATATTCTCAGAAACAGCTAAACCATATTATCTAGGATTTTTTCAAATTATTCTGCTTCAGGCTTGGAAAATTCTAATATGAGCTGCTTCTTGCATTATATGCTCTCACTCTAAATCAGCACATGACATACATGTATGGACACCATAACAACACAAAATCCTGACACCATGTGAGCAGCTCAGCTTGCCAGCCTATATGTCATCTATCTACTAAGTATGAAAACATAGTGTTTACATTCAAGTTGATTAAGTTTATTTTTTAGGATTAAGTATTTATGTGTGTATGTATGAGAAATATCAGACAAAAATGCATAGGTTTTTGTATTCTCTCATCTGAGATTTTTGTTTCAGTTAATCTTTGTTAACTGCTGTTAATCCATCGCCAGGGCAAATAACAGTAGTTTAGCAGCAGAAATACGTCACAGCCACATTACAAGACCAGCCTTTGGTAATTTCATCCTACTTTAGCCTCATCCATTTACTGGGGTTCTCTCTTTACACTTGATACAGCCACACCTGAATAGCTATTTTGCAGCTGTTGTCTCTTCCAGGATTTCAGCTAGGAAGTACATTTTCCTTTGTCTCACTAATTCTGTTCATTGCCTGGGTATTATAAGCATTTCTGCGGTTTGTGTTTCAACATGTGCACTCTTTCCTGTGATGACATTTGTTTGATAAAATTTCATGGTAGTCAAAGCCCCAACCTCCTCCAACACCAATTAATCCTAATACATCTTAAAGAATCAAGTGCCTCTGATCAGCGGAGATAGATAAATTATAACATTTTAAAAGGAAAATCTCTTCTGTAGAGGGTGAATAGTATTAGCAGAGCCACTTCAAAACCCCTCCTGACTGCAGTATACTTTATCCTTGCAGAGGTGGCTTGCTGGTGGCTATGGCTCTCAGTCTGCTGTAGGACAACTTTATGGGAAAGTCCATCTCTCAACAAGAGGTGAGCATCAGCCTCCTTTAGAAGTGCTGCACCATTTCAGCAGGACAAGATAAGGAGGGACATGGTTAAAACAGCAGCAGAAGATAGGCTTGTGCAGAACTCTTTTTCCTTTATTCTGCGTAGTTTGAATTTGAGACTGGGAGACAGCAAAAGCCTTTTCACTGCTGTCATCATGATGATCCATTCAGGCGTGAGAAAAATTAAAGGAAGTCTGGTAAGCTGTTTTTTTGTCTTTTAAATATGATTCCATTTTACATTTAGTGTATATAAAACCCCCTTGGATTAGAGAGAGCAAAATGATAGCTTGACCTTAGTAAACTTAATTCTTAACACTCCCACACATTTTATAGATGTTTATATCTCCGTAAATGGTGTAAGTGCTAGCAAATCACAAATTTCAAAGCACCAAAACAGTCTCAGTTAAATACAATGTGTAAATAACCAGGATAATATACATAATAATTTGTGGAACAAGATATGCTACAAGTCTTCAGTTGTAATAAATCTGCTTATAATTATTAAAAGGGCAACCCTGATACTTTTTTATACTATGCAAAAATTGCTTATGTTAATAGCTGAAAACCTTGTAAAAATAGAATAAAAAATGAAACATTTCCTTTGTTGATCTCTTATTAAGTAAAAAGATTAGTCTGTATTTCCTTCTCTCCTTGCATTTCCCTCATTAGGAACAGATCCAGACTCAGAGGTTTTTTGCTGTCAGGTTAAAGGATAACAGTGAGTTATGGAAAGCACATACACGAAGCTAAAGCATTCTAGCCTCAGAGAGTGAAAGATAAAATTCAGCTTTCTAGCTCACTGCAGTTTCCCTGTGCCTATTTAGGGAGCCAAAATCCAACACACTTTAATGTTCTGAGGTGAAAATAGAAGCAGATAAAAAGAAATTAGATGTAGAAGAATGGGGAGCAAACATATTTTCAAGGGCAAAAAATTGTATTTACTCTTTGTGTCAGAACAAAGAGCCTCTTGGTCAGTGCTTTATCCTGCTACTTGGAAAGGAAGGCTGCTCCACCTCTGTCATACATTGGCCTGTCTATAACAGGGGCAGAATGGAAGCAGAGCATGAGGCTTACATAGCAGAGGATACCGTTGTCCCAGTAAATCTCATATTTCTGGAAAACCTTTCTAACTACAACACTTGGAGCTGCTTGCTGTTAATATGGTAAGGCAAGATTATTTTCTGCTTCTGCAGTTTGGCACTACAATCTCATTTTTTAATTAGTGAAGATGGAATATGTCCCTGAGCATTGAGGATCCAGGATCTGATTTGTATCCAAACAGAAGAGTCCCATATGCAGTTATCTCTCTCTTGACATATCATTCCTATCTCCACCCAGAGCGTGCTTCTTCCTCACTTACCTTTGGCACCATCAGAACTTAACTTGCTCAATCTCTAGTTATGAACTCCTTCCTCTGTGAGTTTTGTGGGTTTTATTATTTGCTACGTATTTGTGGTCTTAGAAAATGGTGACTGTTATTGATGCTGAAACCAGCAGTGGAAAGATGCGTGCCTGCCTGCCTGCGGGTGACAGGAAGAGGCAGAGAAGGGCTGTGTGATGTAAATGGAGGTCACAGTCTCCCTGAGTTTCTAATCACAGTATTATCAACTAGTACATATAAACAGGCCTCACTGCTGCAAATCCCTGCTGAATGAGCATCTGCTTCTTTGCCTGTCTTTTTCCTTCCTCCCTGCTTTACTTCTTGCTCATGCCTCAGCCAGCACTTCCTTTTCAGTCCTGTTTTCCCTATGTGCCTGTGATGCCAGGATATGGGTTCGTTGCCTCCAGGTGTTCAGCCCAATTCCTCTCCTCTTACTGACCTCCCTTCCCTCTGCCCTGTCACACAATTTGGCAGTGGCACCTCCCCGGAAAATTGTTTGCAAAAGCATCACACCCAGTTACAGAAACCATGACGGGGACTCCTAGCATTGCCAGGACTGTCTGTCCCTGAGCTGCAGCACACCTGACACCATCAGCACCTGCCAAGGAGCCACCATGTAAGGTGGTAGCATTTGCCTGGTGCAGCTTGGCTGTGCTGTGCAGTGCATGCCCAGTGGCACAGCCAGAGCCAGCCTCTGCTGTGCAGGTGCTGCCTTAGCAGGTCCCAGCTTTACATGGTCACCTTTGGCCAAAGCAGCAAAGAGCAAATATCTTATGTGAAAACCCTTATGTAGCCTTTCTTAAACTCATATAAGACCTCTGAAAAACTCTTCACCTGAAAAGATGAACACACTTGTTAACTCAGCAGCCATGCCCTGTACCTTTCACTACTTTTAGAAGACCTGGCCCTCTTGTTCTCTAAAACCGTCTGCAGAGGGAATGGTGCAGAAGGAACAAGACATCTTCTCCCAAGTGAGTCAACTTAGACATGCATAGTATAGCCTACTTACTGCATCCCCAGAAGCAACGATGCAGTTTCAAGAAAGTCTAGTTATGAAAGGTGTGGGAAGAGATAAAGACTAACCTGGTGAGTCATGGGAGCATGCCACAGGCAGAGCCTGCATTCAGGACTTGGGAACAGTCCTGCCTCTAGACCTGATGATAGGCAAGAAAGAAGGAAGTGATTAATAATTAAAATAATTATGGAATAAATTAAGATAATTAGTCTCTTTATTTATCTTCCTAAGTGTTGTCCAAAACTATAATCTTGGGATTCCAGGCCCACTGGTTTTGTGTCATCCTATAAAATAAGAGTCCCCATCATTAGGTCTTCTTGGACAAGAGTTATAATTTGTGACGCTGTCCGATTGGGCAGAGATGCAGCTTCTCAGCTGGGAGGAAGCATCAAACTGGGAAATGGGAGTAGCAAAACAATTGCAAACCTAGTTCTGTTTACACTCCAGATATTTAGCAGCTCTTCCTTGTAGATGGGTTAGTCTTGGTGGGGGCAAAGGTAATAGTTTGCAGCCCACCAAGTGCCTGTGTGAGGCAGAGAGGCAGTGAAGCATTGAGTGGGGATGACAAGCCTGGTGGCCTTGGCATGGGAGGGGAGATACATGAGGTTTTGGAGATCCTCAAAGAGAAAGCTGTGGCAGAAAGTGGAACATGGGTGAAGACAATGTAACTGTGCCTTCTGCATTCCCAGTGACATCCTGCCTCCCTCACCTCACAAACCCACGTCTGGGGTTGCTGCCATATTCCTGGGGTTCCTCTGTTTTTTTCAGCTCTACACAGCACTATTACACTTGATCTAAATGGAGATTTTTAACCTGTTTAATTTCTTCTGCTTGGCCAAGCTGTGGTGCTTGAGGTTGTGTTCCTAGTTCCTAGGGTTTCCGGTGCCCTCACACACTGATATGAGAAAGGCCCATGACTGGGTTTGCACAGTTAGATGTTCTTAGGCCACTGTAACTTCATCTTATAGAAATAATAGGAATTTTCTATGCAGGGTTTTGTTATCTAAATCAGTGTCCTATTAAGTGTGCTGGCTGGCAGCTACTCAGGTGCAGGTAGCAGAAAGGAGGTCCCTTCCCTCTCACCTCCACCAGCAGAGTCTGTGCCAGTCTCCCGGTGGTCTGTCAGGCTTCCAGCAGCAAATGACCTGCCCTACATGGGAGTGGGGTGGTTTGCAAAACTGTCAGAGCATAGGTAGTTGAAGTATGCCAAGTGGGGTCCCAGAGAATTGTGGGGATCTCTACCACAAATAAAGAAGAAGGAAGAACAGAAAAATATGTTAGAGAAAGGAATCAACAAAAGAATTGTGGGGAGTCAGAGGAAAGAGAAGGTAAGGAAAAAATTGATAGTATATCCCATGTTTGTATGAAGCAATCCAGAGCTCTCAGTACCACAAAATAAGTGTCAGCCTATGTAGTGACTGCTGATAGCTAAATCACTTAACAAACAGCTTCTGAACTTGACACGCACAATTCACGTTGTGCAAAGGCACAAGTGACTGTCCTGTGCTGCATGATTCCAGCCTTCAGTTTTCTCACCTGGTTTGTGTTAAACCAAAACTCTGACTGCAGTCAAGAAGAGCATCTTCTGCGTAAGAAGCATATAAAAACTGCTAAATGCTTCATTACTAACAAGAAGTTTGTGTGACTGAAACAGCCCTGAGTGTTGCAATGACATTTTTTCCATTTATTTTTCCTCCTTTTTTCTTTTAAAAACTGGGTAATTGGGGTGTGAAGTTTCCTATAACAGACTAAAGCCTAATGGGAAGGTCTGCCATCTGCATTATTAAAGTCACATGTTAGCGCCATGGGAAGCAGATGAGATGCTAGAAACAACATAATGAACAAAACTTTTGCACAGTTAATACTACCAGTGATTCTTAAGATATTGATAGCAGTCCCGAATGCGTGGTGGCCAAGAGGAAGGTCACTTCACCCATAAGGAATGTGCTAATGAAAGGACACAATAGGATTTTATACTCACAGAAATTCCCTGGAGGAGGAAGAGCTACACTTTGCATTGAATGGCAAGAGTAAAAACAGGTGGGAGCACTGGAAGACAGACCCATCTTGAATAAAAAGAGGGAGATGACAAGGCTGGGTTGGGCACGCCAGATCTGACCAGACTGAGAGGCAGGGATGAGGGTAGAGGTGGGCTCCCAGAGCTCAGCTGCGGGCTGGGTGGTCCCTGTCAGAGAGGTAGCATTCAGCATTAGGTTGCTATTAGTTGAGTAATTTTTTTTATTTATATGAGCAAGATAGGCCCCAAAAGCCCTAAATGACAACTAGGTAATAACCAGGAGTCTGGCACACCCTAAACTGCATTTTAATTTCTCTTTTGTGACTCAAGAATGCAACCTTTGATGGAATAATAATAACACACATACTCTTGCATTTAAGCCTGTCAGGTGTTCACGGGGAATTTGTGTGGGAGCAACAAACGTGAGATGCACCTGTGATCTGCTGGGAGCAAGGGCTCTGAGCAGGCACCTCCTCGGGGCTATCAGCAACCTGAGAGAGACCTGAAACCCACAAGAGCTGGGACCCGTGTCTCACCCAGCTCCTGGTTTACTTAATTTGATGCAGATGAGTTGTCTTCCTGACGTCACCTGGCTACTCCCCTGAGTTTGCGGGCTGAGCAATGCAGGCAGGCCAAAGGCAGCCAGGATCACCTGCTCCCACCAATACTCCCTAATGTGGGTTTCAGAGTCAGCTCGACTTGCGCAAACCCACTGATATGCCCCAAAGGACAGAAAGTGAAAAAGATGGCAAGGGCTTTTCAGACAATGCTCTGAGTTTTAATCTAATTTAATATCTTCACAGTGCATGTTAAGTGATAAAAAGCAAGCAACAAAGGGATTGTGTGGTGCTCAGATTTATGCACGTGTTATAATTAGAAAATTAGTACGTGCTCTACTTGTGAATTCAGCCAACAGAAAAAGCCAGCTTGGATATGCAATCAACAATGACATGTATCCACTCATATGTCAAAGCATAGGCTTGTTTGTTTGTTGTTTTGGTTTTTTTTTTCCTACTGTAGTGCAACTTGTTGTGACCTAATTGCATTCACTGGAACCACCACAAGTCAACATAACCCAAGTTATAGTCCCACATTTCCAGACAGTAAATGGTCTTTTCACTCCTTATTCTTGCCAAAATTGTGAATGCAACATTTTACCTTTCACTGGAGCAGTTTAAGACAAAGTCAAGCTTTTTTTCTTTTTGGTTTTAAAAATATATTTCCACAAAGTTAGAATGTGAGCAATGATTTAAATCAGGTTTAAAGTTAAAAAAAAAAAAGAAAAAGACTTACCTATTTGCAGCTAAAGAGTGATTTCTTTCTCAGCTGCTCCTAGCAGGCAGCAGTTCTGCATGTGTAGTGACATTAGTGTTTATAAATGTTACTATAGTAACTGTATGTGTAGTCACAGACTGGTAGACTTACTGTTCTGGTTATTTGGTGAGCAACAAGGTATAATGGAAAAAAAAGAGACACAGCATTGTAAGACAGCCATGCTCTGGAGGATTCAAGAAGGAACTGCAGTAAAAGTATTTTTTTGCCTTTATACCAACCAGTGCCTTACTGTATGCATTACAGCAGTGTTTTTCCCATTAGACTCTCATAAACACACCATAAAATGTAAAGAAACATTCAGGCATTTAAACCAAAGTCAGTATCTGCTTCCTAACAACTTTCAAATTTAATTCTACTTTAATGGAAGCAATAAGTTTTCAGGCTTTTAAGGACCCTGAAGAATGAATGAGGTGAAAGAATAAGGTTATTCACCTGTGTAGCTTCAGACATAAATGCCTGCAAGTTGCCTTAATGAACATCAGTGGAGTTACTCACCTGTGTTAGAACAGTAAAGGTATTTTCAGCATCAAAACTTATAATTTATTATATGCAAGTGTGCAAACGTAATGTTGGGTTAAATATCATTAATTAACTGGCTAAAGGAGAAGCTGATAATTTTGGGGG